CCGTGGTGTTCTGCACCCGAAACCCTACACCGACGACCCAAAATCCCCAAGACTTCAAACCCTCAACTTGGCCCCTCAACCCTAAACCCTTAAACCCTTTGCCGACACCTCATAGCGCTTGCATAACTCGGGGCTTACCCGGCATACGGTTTAGAATTTTGAGTGCAGTGTTCAGGTTGGAGGGTTGATTGCAGCCGAGACGCTCATCATCCTCTGCGAAACGCAGTGCCTGCATTCTTCTTTGGATGTGCTGAATCGGTGGGGCTTGCGTAGCTCATCATAACATGTTTTGCTGAAACATGTTTGACATGACTTGATCTTCTTCCTCCAAGGCTTTCATAGGACCGAACAATGCAGGCAGTGTGTACACCCGAAGCCCGGCAACCCCAAGGCGAGGAGAAGGACGACCGTCGCAAGGTCAAGGCTAGAAGACGGGGAAACGGAGGAGGAGGACTAATTGTGGCAGCGACCCCCCCCCATACAGTAACAGTCTACAATAAGGCTAGTATTAAGGGCCCAATATATCTATATTATCCAACTGTTACTGAGTGGGGGGCAGTACCCAAAGTATGATCGTTGTACTGCTAACTCTCGCCATGATGCTGCTTGTTGCTGTGGTACGCTGATCAGTATATGCACAGGAAAATCGCTAGATCTCCAGACTGCACCTGAAGCACCCTCAGTACCAGAGTCACAGATTCCTGAAACCCTATAAAACCGAGTTTCGAGATGGCAAACTCTGTACACGAAGTTCTTAACTCTTCACCTCCCGTGTCCTGTCATCCCAATCCTGAAATCACACCAGCAGTACTGAACCGTGACGCACGCCATCTAAACACCCTCAAACCTAACACTGGCCTTGGGTGAGACCGGTGGCACGGAGAGCGATGGCCTTTGCTCTGGGTTTACTTCTGCTGCACTTAGTTCAGCCGGCTCGATCTGGTCTAACTTAGTATCAGTTTCATACGCGTCTTTTTTGAAGTTCAACGGATGATATGACAGACGTTAGGCTTCACGAGACCTTGAGCATATACTTGGTCTGCAACGATCAAAGGATGCCGAAACATGTGTCTGCACACTACATGGCATCTAGGAGGAAACCAGATCCCAACAGAAAGAGGCTCAGAACTTGAGATCCATGTTAACTGCTCAAGCTTAGGGTAGAAGTTGTAGAGTATTGCTTGAATGAGTAGGATTTGCGTGGCTCCATGCCCTCTTGGTGGCATTCAGATACGGTTTGGGCTCAAGACACCCATGCCGGTGTAGAGGCTATAGCGTGCCATGTCGTCAGAACTATACCTTTCAAAACTATAGCACAACACTCTAACCAACTAGCACAAGATACGAAAGACAAACCGGAAATCAGGTAAGGGGGTGGCGAAATGCCTCTGCCATATCCATTCTCCCCCCTGACCACTCCAAAACCCTAAACCTCGGTGTCCAGACCCAACCCTAATTCTACACACCTATATGGTTTACCCTAAGGCTCAAAATGGCCCAAAAGCCTTATATAATATGGTCTTTAGGCCCAAAAGCCTTGAAATATGAGTCCTTAGAGCCTTAGGTTTACGGCCTAAAGTCTGAAGACCCCAACTAAAGCCTAACTCCCAAACCCCACACTCACGAAGCCCTGGTTTACGGACCGTAGTAGTGTCAGTAGGCTTTCGAGGGTTACTATTTTAAGGAGCCTAGAGCAGCGCAACAGGACTGGTGATGTAGGCCCAACTTGAAACCCCCAAACCTGCAAGACCAAAGCTCTACGGAATCAACATAGAACCCCGGTTAGACAAAGATGCAGACTCCATGAACCCCACACTGTGAACCCTTAGCCTAAACCGTGGAGCCTATAACGTAAAAGGATTTGGGTTTAGGGTTGAGGGCTTAAAGTTCGGGTTAAGGCATTCTAAACAACCGACCCTCTTGACGGATACATCAACAGTTGACAAAGCCCGTCCAGCCAAGAAGCGGCCGACATTTCTTTCGTTTGTCCTGAGTTCGATTTACCGCACATCAACTCCCAGTGGCTCGATTGCCAGGGACTTAAACCTACTTGTCCAGTATCCTGCGGAACTACATGTTAACCTATGGGAATATATTTTGTGATTTTATGGTGATTATCGTGCGGGATTATGATAAGAGAAACGTTGAAGGATGCCTACTCTACTACGAGGTGAATGGCAGTCCAAGGGTTGCGGACATATTGTGAAACAAAACCTGTAGGAGATCAACAGTGCTTTATGGATTTACATACATGCTGTTTAAGAGCCTCTGACATGCTACCGAAGTAAGTTTAAGCTACCACAGCCTGGGTGTATTGCAAGCAGTGTGAGTTCCATGTTACAGTAGCATGAATCAAGTATCTGCAGGAAATTAGTTCTATTGAAACTCAGCATTTCCAAGGGTAACAGGAGGGACCCTTAATATATACCCTTAATATAGCTAGTATATACCCATTATATAGCCCATTATAGGGTAGGGGTCCCCATTAAGGGTCCCTCCT